CAGCTTCAGTCCACTGGTTGTTCAGCTTCATGTCCACTGGTTGTTCAGCTTCATGTCCACTGGTTGATCATCTTCAGTTCACTGGTTGTTCAGCTTCATGTCCACTGGTTGATCAGCTTCAGTCCACTGGTTGTTCAGCTTCATGTCCACTGGTTGTTCAGCTTCATGTCCACTGGTTGATCATCTTCAGTTCACTGGTTGTTCAGCTTCATGTCCACTGGTTGTTCAGCTTCATGTCCACTGGTTGTTCAGCTTCATGTCCACTGGTTGATCAGCTTCATGTCCACTGGTTGATCAGCTTCATGTCCACTGGTTGATCAGCTTCATGTCCACTGGTTGTTCAGTTTCATGTCCACTGGTTGATCAGCTTCATGTCCACTGGTTGATCAGCTTCATGTCCATTGGTATTTCTGCTTCATGTCCACTGGTATCCTTCAGGTTCTGTTTATTGAAAAGTGATGTTTCAGTTTCAGATCATGAAGCTGTCTGATGTTTGAATAATTAGAGTCTGTTTTATGTTTTGGACTGGAACCTGTTTGTTGTGAAGATAGTGACCTCATGCTGGGACCAGTTGAACCTGGTCCAACTCCAGACTTAGTATCAGATCAAATAGAGGGTGTGTTTTGTTTTCCTGTGTGGTGGGGGGAGGGGGGGTCCTTGGTGTGTCCTTGTGTTTACCGGTGATAGGATGTATTTATGAGCGTCCCTCAGGCTCACAGCGGTGGTTATCAGGTCATAAATTAACAGGCGGTCAGAGAAAAGAGATGCTGCTCAGACGCAGAGAGAAGCTGTTGGTTTATCAGAACCACGTCGCCCCCCACCACCATCATCATCATCTTCCTCCCCCCTGACCTCCTGTCTCCTCTGCTCTGTCTGAAGGTGTTTCTGTGTCGACACTTCACCACAGCTTTGACCCGTCTCACATCAAGGTTTTTATTGGCTCTGTTAGCAGTGTGTGTGTGTGTGTGTGTGTGTGTGTGTGTGTGTGTGTGTGTGTGTGTGTGTGTGTGGAGGCAGGTCTGACAGCGAAGGAGGAAAATCAGAGAATTAAGAAAGAAAGTGGAAGAGGGGAGTGGGTATTGATGTGTGGTTGCGTCAGT